ACAGTCTCTTTGTGTATAAAATATTAAATATCAGAACGACATTTGTTCACACATCGGCGAGTCTCAACATTTTAATCAAGAAAATAATTCCCAGTAACCCCAAAACTTGGAAATTTGCGACAATCTGCTGCTGCTGCTGAATGTAATATTCCAGTCACTTGAGTGCCCATGTGCTCAGCGTATCGCCACAGGAGCTGCCCAAGCACCGACCGCCGTGCACCACCGTGCAGCATCGGGCCGCAGTACTCCAGTTGTTGCAAATATATGAGTGGCCTCTTGACAGACATCGTCGTCATCATCATCATCAGCAGGAGCAGCAGCTCAAACTGTGCCACTTCAGCGGTTATGTGTATTGTTTGCAGCAAAGCCGCGAAATGCTGAAGCTTCCCGTGGCTTGATGACGTCGCGCACCACAAACCACTTTGGCAGACATGCAAAAATTTCTCACGCATCGTTAGCAGATGTTGCGAGATCTCGAAAGAGAGTGGGTAGAGGACAGAGATTTTAAAAATGGGAGTTACTTAAAGAGTGTCCATAATAGTATAGAGCGTGATGAGCCAATGAGTATATAATGAATATTATTACTAACTAAGCTAATGGATCTAAAGCTAATCTTTTAGTGTGAGGCCAACAAATGAATTTATGAATAATTCTTGATTATTTTTTCCTTATAGATATAAATCTAAATATATTATTTCTCTTTTTTAATAGGTTGAGGGTATAATAACATAAACTTAAAAATCAACAAATTATTATATGATCAGAGAAACTTAATAAATATTAAATTTTAATTTAAAAAATAATACAAATTTAATTTAAAAAATAAAATAAATTTATTTCAAAAAATACATGCTTTATATTTTGTTAAATTTTTATATGTCAGCCCTTAAGATACTCTCTTAATAGGGAAAACTAACGTAATTAAACACATATACTAAAGCAAATATTATTAAAAGTAAGAGTAAAGAAAAGAAAATATACCAAAAACATGAACTAACTAAAAATCTTGATGTAAACACGAATACTTAACAATTCAAGAAAATGGAATGAAAGATGCTTGCCTTGGAAAACTCAATGAGCCATGATTTTTGCTCCCTGCGAGGAGCCCCTCGTACCTTTGTTGCGCTCATTTCTAATAGAATAATATATAATACTAATACGTCTGACCTTTCATAACCGCCGGAATGATCTTTGAGCACATGCCACGCCCTTGGTGGCCCGTAAGATCGATTTCATTTATGGCAGATTTGGGAATTTGTGCAGCAGCTGCCCCGGCCACTAGAGAACGCATTTGTGAATGCAAATTGAAGATATTTTAATAAGTTCTGTGCTCCGATATTTAAATGACATTTGACAAGTTGAAAGGAAACAGAGTCGCAACTCTCAAGTGACCAACATGCTGGCCCCGAACAAAGCCAGCGCCGCCGGAGAGCCGGGCCACGCCTCAGACGCAACACTGGCAGAAACAATGCTGTAAAAGGAAAGGAAAACGCCGAGCGAGAGCAACAAATGCCGAAACGATAAACCACTTGAGTAATCAATCAAAGCGATATGCTGCAGCCCAGGCGAGACGTTGCGACCTCTTGTAATGAATATTTAAAGATGGGAATTATCGCATTGGTATCGTGTTGAGGCTGCAGAGCATGAGGAGGAGAATGGAGGCGCAGCCCTACGTAGGGACAGGGGTAGTTAAGCATTTTGCATAAATGATAGCGAAACAATAGACCAATATATCCTAAGGCATTCGTTCGCTGCCTTTGCATATGTGGTATGCGATAATTTGAGCACAAAAGTGTTTCTCCGAGCTCCGAGCAGCATATTGCGTCTAATCTATACATGAATATTTGTGTAATCAATACACAAGAACTGAATCGACATAGAGAGCGAATGAGAGAGAGAGGAAGAGAGAGCAGAGTTTCGTCTTGTGAAGATCGGCGATCCTTTGGCTCAAGTGAGCAAACGCACAGAATGTGAAACAAATAACAAAAGCAAGCACGAGCACTCGAGCCACACAATTTCTTGGAGGGATCGAAAGCGAGAGAGGGAGAGAGAGAGGCGAGTGCTGCCATTGTGATATTGTAATGAGCGTGACGTCTTATTTGTGCCAGACAAGGATAAGAGCCACGCAACAACGGAAGGGTCGCCGCTTCTCAAACTCAGCTGAACTGAACTGAACTGGATGGAAGGGAGGAAGCTTCCTCTACCACACAGTGGCAAGAATTTCACACCAATGCGCACACATTGTTGTGTAAATAGGGCCTAATTCTTACTTACTTATTGGTTAGCTCCTCAAGTGTCTCAATCAAAAGCTTTGCGCAAGGCTTGGAACACCACTTGGCTGCCCATAAAGCGGCGGTTCTGCTTTGTATTTTTACAATTATT